ACAGGTAGGGGTAGCTATATAGCGGAGATATATAGGGAGAGAATGGTAGAGGAGAGACAGATAGGGGTAGCTTTATAGGGGAGCTCTATAGGGAGAGACAGGTAGAGGAGAGACAGATAGGGGTAGCTATATAGGGTAGCTCTACAGGGAGAGACAGGTAGAGGAGAGACAGGTAGGGGTAGCTATATAGCGGAGATATATAGGGAGAGAATGGTAGAGGAGAGACAGATAGGGGTAGCTATATAGGGTAGCTCTATAGGGAGAGACAGGTAGAGGAGAGACAGGTAGGGGTAGCTATATAGCGGAGATCTATAGGGAGAGAATGGTAGAGGAGAGACAGATAGGGGTAGCTTTATAGGGGAGATATATAAGGGAGCTCTACAGGGAGAGACAGGTAGAGGAGAGACAGGTAGAGGAGAGACAGGGGAGAAACTTATAGTTTTGTATGTTGGTAAGAGCATTTACAGGAATGCTACTGCAGTCATCCTTGTTACTTGTTGCAGATATGATATTGACACAAAGCATTCATTACGGGATATAACGGAGAGCATGAAGAAGATGACTCCAACTGATTCAGTGAGTAATATTCATGAAACTACAATGGGTAGTTGTCTGGTTGCTCATTGTATTGCTTAGCCCTTTGTCTGCTGGAGGGATGTGGAGGCAGGTTTCATGTAATTAACATTATCACAAGGTATTGTTGTTAACATAATATACTCACACGCAAAAGAAGTATGCAGTATACATGTTTTTTATTTTCAACAGTAAAGACAAGAAATACTAACAGGGCAAGATTGACAAAAATTTGACTGTAGACAGTTTAATGGATTAAAAGGCAGATGACATAATTGTTTTTTTTCAAATGTTAAGGGTTTACACAGTTTCGGGTCAATACCCAAAATGTCAGTCAATACCTGGTGTGACCACCATTAGCATTGATCACTGCCACACATCTCCTGTACACTGAGTGGATCAGACGATTTGTGAAGGCCCTAGGGATCCTCCTGCACACATCCAGAGCAGCTGTGCGTAGTTCATCGGCAGTTGTAGGGACTGGGCGCACATTGTGCAGACGCCTTTGAACCTCATCCCACAAGTGTTCGATGGGGTTCAGATCAGGGCTGAGGGCTGGCCACGGTAGAACACGGATGTTGTGTTGTTGCAGAAAGGCCATGGTAGCTCTGGCAACATGGGGACGAGAGTTGTCCTGCTGGAAAATGTGTTGTTTCAAAAAATGGAACAACGTGGGGTCTGATCACTTGGTCGATATACCGCTGAGCAGTGAGGCCGTGTCCCCAACCTTGACCAACATTCAGAAAGCACATGGGTCCAAGTCTCGCATTAAGTCCAATCCCTGCCCATATCTTGACAACCCATGGACCCCTTTCCACAACGTTTCTGTCAGCGAAACGATCACCTCGACGCCGCCAAATTCTGACTCTTCCATCTGCATGGGAGACACAAAAGCGACTTTCATCAGAGAAGATGACACGACTAGTAGTATAGGTAATGATGGTTCTGCCGCAACTCCACTGGAGCCGGATTTATATACCTATACTGCTACTACAGGTGGCATTTTTTATGCATAAACGCTAATGCGATTCAACGATAGTCATGAGATTAAGTTAAATTGGCTCTAGCTCACCAATACCTGGGGCCAATCATTGCTTTAGATGAGCCTAAATGGTAATAAAAATATTCTTTATTATTTTTATCAATAAAGCGATATTCAACATTTTTATTAAGTTCTTCGTTCATTTTACTAGGAGACCAGACTATATAATTACACTCTTCTTGTAAATTGATAAGAAACAATTTATAACCGTATTTGGTTGGTTTAACATCACTGATATAATAAAAACCTTGTGGTAATTCTCTCCATTTAGTAGCTTTTTCGATCTCCATTATTATATATATTTATGTAAGCATTTGTCTAAATGTGATCAAACGATAGTAAGCAATCTATTTTTAATCTCCAACCAGTTCTTTGGTTTTGGCACGGAATAACTGATGCGCTTGTTGCCTCCCCTGTTCTATGAACTTTTTTTTCTCGTCTTCGCTAATACCACTGGTCTTACGAGATTTTGATCGAATCTCCTGCTTCATTGCGTTGTATTTGGTGAGTTCCGACAGCACTAAACGAAACTCATCCTCGGATATCTTACAATCGACCATTGCTGTCGAAATATGATCCTCAATGCTGTTCAACTTTGCTTCGGCGAGTATCCGAATACTATCGTGTTTTAATGCTTTCTTTTGTAACCTACGAGAAATGAATTTTATCGCTATTCCTGCCAGTCCCGAGACTCCGGTGCCTATTTCCATGCCGAGCACGATAGGCGCGGCGATTATAGTTGATAGTAAACCGACACCCGCTACACCAAGTCCCATGCCAGCTGCTACAAGAGCGGTATCAACTCCGTCCAGAGCATTCACGGCTCTGCAATACTTTTTATACAATTCAAGTCTCAACTCCCTATCCTTCTCTATTTGATGTTTTATGTCGCTTATTTAATGTAATCGAAATCCATCAACAGTTTCCAACTTTTCAAATGCCTCATCGAGCGCCGGATATAAACTCATAGTGTATATTACGATCATATAATAGTCTTTAATTGGTCTTGCTTAAATGTTTTGAGAGTATACATCAATCTTATCAAATGTATATTATACGGCAAGAATATCTTAGTAAGAGAAATACTACCACTTTTAATAATTTGGACCCCCTTGAGGGTTGCAACGGGCGATGCTCCGATATGAATATTACTGCAACGTTGACGCTCGTGTTTCTTGAGCCATTTAATCGATAGACCTGGTAATATTTCGAAGGCATCTAACGGTGCATCTCCGAACAAGACTTCAATAATAAGCATAGAAATATTAGGTATTGCACTCAGGTTAACTTTAATATCATCAAATTCAGTAACCAAATTTAAACTAACATTTTTTACTGCCGGACGACTATATAACATTGACCTGGGTCTTCTGGCAGAAAAGTGACTAACACACTTTTTCGTTTTGATGGGATATAAGCCGCGAGTACGATGCCACTATTTATTATCCTAGTTGAATTATGTCCCTTACCCATCATCACATAAGGTGGGGTAATGACGATATTCATTAGCCACTCGATGTTTGCGTCGACCATAGTCCATTTATTATCGTCGTTGAGAGAAATATTATACGAAGTGTTTTTAATTAGTCTACTAACATCGACATCGCTTAAATCTTCTAGATTACCTGTGAATGTAACTTCTTTCCGCTTGTATACATTATTGTGTAAGTGTAAAGCGTATAACTTACCATCGGTACCGGGTTTACCGAATCCTTCTGTGTCTCCGAGATCGGAAAAAGCAATTGTATTACATTGTCTGAGCGTTCCAGGACCTGATGCATCAACCATTATTTATAATATGGAGTGTTACACTTAAGTATCCTATATGTACAGGTTGGTGTTTTACATCTAATACAGGAATTTTGAGGTCCCGCTTTAATTTTTTATATTGTAATGGTGAGAAAGATTCCGATGTATTTTTCATCTTTAACTGGAACACATCTGAGTAGAGTTGAAGGACTTTCTAGTTGAATATTATCCGTCGTGCTTATTTGATCAAGATGGATGCACAACTCTTTATAGGGAACTAAATCGGGTAAATCACGTCCCTGATTTGGTGCATCGATTACTGAAATTACTCTCCATCCAAGTGTAATTGCTAAGTTCTCGTAAAGAAGTACACCTCTTCCTCCAGGGTCTAATTTCAGTATCCCATTCGACTCATTTTGTGTGAGACTCATTCCATTAGGCTTAAAAATTTCATCATTGAGTGAGCATACGCTGTAATACCCATCAGGTATAATAATGGTTTTGTTAATACCTGATTTAATAATCTTATTATTTCTTTTCACAGCACTTATATTGGTCCACAGCGGGTAATACGTTACATCGCATAGAGCTACTTCGAGTTGTCCATCCGAGTTATCAATAGTATGAAGCAGTTCAATAGACTGACCATTTGTTATTCCCGGGAGTGTAACATACATATTAAATATACAATGATACTATATCATAACTTATATGAAATCAACTTACATTACTAATCAATCGATTATAGTAACTGCCTCTGGTGCTGAGTTTACCGTTAAATTCCACGATATCTTTAAAAATTACAGGGTCACGGCAACTAGCGATAAAATGGTGCACGATTGGTTTCACAATCCGATGCAATTTTGGCAGAATCAGTTAAACTTTGCCGTATGGTGTGCCACAACGGGATGTGGCATATCTGTTAATGCCCCAGTATTTAAACTATATAAGTCTGTTATATTATTTCACGTGTACTATCAGATTAGACGTATACTTAAAGAAATTAATGCTCCGTTACCGCATGATCGAGCGTGGAATTCCACAAATAATAATTATGATAGGTCCGTGTATGAGCGTATTTGTCAGGAATTTAATGTTTCTACGGGTAAAGATTGGCGTATTAAAGGAGCAAACCATGGTCTAGGTGTTCCTTACGCAGAGGAAAAAGAACCATCAAAGAAGAAAGCGATTATGTATATAAAAAACTTAATAAACTTCCAGTTGATTTTCCTAAGTTGTTGCGTACCAGCAAACTTTACTCAAGAATATATGATCATTGGTATAAAACCAGTTATTGGTATAAAGGCTGGGAACTTTAAAGTAACGATTGGAGAGGGGATATTATGAGTTTTAAGAGTGGGTCTATTTATATTGTTAAAAAATTTGTACAACTGAACGATAACGCTTGGAATGAATTTCTTAATGATAAAACGGAAAATAATTTTACTAACCCAGGATTTGTAAGATTTAATGAATCGATAAGAACTTATGTATGGGCAATTCTCGGTGCACAATCGCAAACACAAACGTTCATTATCGGTACTGGGACGGCGTTCCATGCGCAAAAACAGTTTGTCGCAAATGTGGAGGACGCCATTAATTCACCAGTTGACATACCATCGTCTATAAAGCGTTTTCAAGATGTATTACAGTACGCTCAATCCAAAGTGGACTACGTTTATGCGCCGGGACTATACATGTCTCCGAGTAATATGGAACTTAAGATCAGTCAAGTGATAGGTTATAATAATAAAATTGTTATTGCTACCGATCAACAAAAACCAGGTATAAATTCAGATATTAACGTCGAATTAATAACACAAACAATCACGGGCGAAAAGGGAATAGTCAAGCCGCAAACACCAACTATCGCTCAACCATCTACTAACGCACAAACACAAGTGTCACCGCATATTGCGGCTAAAAATCAACAACATATCGATGAAAAAACAGCGCTTGTATTAGGTGGAGTCGCGGCTGGTTTACTCATGATTTGGTTAAATAGTTCTTAGCGGATACGTACAACAGCCCTGCAATTGCTACGATCAGTGCCCTTAAGTTTTGACTAAGCCAAGTGGTGGTCTTAGCTAATAAATTCAATAGCCAGGTAACAATACTCCCTATTATACCGGGAAGTGCCGCCGCGGCTTTCTCAGTGAGCTTTCCCAGTGCTGAGCCTAATGCTTTTAAATGCTTTTTTATCCACCCTTTT